ATCCCAAATACTAGTAATTTGGGATTTTGGCATCCCAAATCCCAAATGATTTGGGATTTGGGCAACACGTATAATAAATATATGTTACTTAAAGTGTTGGCTTGAGATATATCTGAAAGGTCATACATGTAAAATGCATTTCATCTATACTTTGATCTTTTAAAAATATATTTTTCAAAATTAAATACAAGTGAATTAAAAAGGATATCAAATCTATAAAAGACACAAGTAATATATTTACGATTAATATAAAGACTCAAAAAACTGATTTGTTAGTTCTGAGTCTATCAGACTTAACTAAAATTCTAATGATAGCTGTTTGTAATTTGTACAGAATATTGGCAAACAATTTCAATTGTCCAATTAAAATCGTTAAGAAAGTCAGGTCATATAGTATATAAGCAATTGGGGATAAATTGACATTATTTGCTATATCGCTTATTGAGAAGAATAAATATTTGGTCATTAATTAACTTCATGTATAATTTCCTTTTTGTTTAAAACTATTGGATACTATATAAAAATCTTTAATTTTTTCAAGATCATAAGAAACAAGTTTAAAAAATAAGAAAAACTTTTAGAAAAAATTTGTTCTTTTGTACCTTCAGTTGATGATGATACCAGTAATTTACAAGAGTGGATATATTTACTGGATGATAATCTAATATCTATAATGGAAGAGGAAATGGATAAACTCTCTTTAAATGTTACTTAATAAAATTAAAGAATAAATCAATATGAAATCTTTTATTATATAATTGAATATAAATTATATACTTTCTTTACATGTAAAAATTTATTGAATATTTTTAGTTTCATAATTACATGTTGCAATTCTGATCATTTTCTATAAAATAAATAACATTTGAATAATTTACATTTGTATAAAAGTATTATTAAAATATGCAATCCAAATTAAATTTATTGAAACAAGAAAATGCCAGACTTATAGTTAAAATTAAAGAGTTAGAACAAATTGCAGAAGAAAAGAATGAGATCAAGATTAGAATTGCAGAATTAGAACAGATAACAAAGTTAAGTCAAACAGAAAATGATAAGCTTAAGAATAAAATTACAAAATTAAAATAAGCTGTTAAAAATATTGAAAAGCAAAATCAAATAGTTATTAGTAATTTAAAATTTCTAGAATATTCCATTCCATTACCTAATAAGAATTGCTCAAATGGTGAAAATGCGTAGATTAAAGATTCTTCAACTCGTCATGAAGCAGATCAATCCATAACTAGTATTGACTATACTTGCACGCAAAATTATTTTGGGGCCCTGAAATTGCAATTTCGAAGAAAAAAGTCGAAATAGTTTTTCATAGAAGACGAAATTATTTTACTTAAAACCCGAAATTTTTTGACCACCCAGATTTATTCTTTGATTAAAGATACATATAACTAGGTACTTTTTTTACTTCCATATATAAAATAGATTTTGCATAAATCTCAAAAAGTCGAAATACTTCAAAAATCTAAAATTAATTTTGGGAACATGTATAGTATTGACTTTTTAACTTTAAACACTTCAGAACAAGTAATAAATACAATTTCTGATACATCTAACTTAATGAAACTTGCTTCTAGAAAATTCAAATTATTAGAAGATAAAGAAATTCATATCTTTTTAGATTCGAAAAGTAAGAAAAAGGTTAATAATGAGATAAGGTAGAGAAATAAGAAAAAAACTATTACATAATATTGAATTTTTCATTTTTCAGGATCAAAACTTATATTTAGTTAATTAGGATACTTCAACAGAATCTGAAAAGACAATAATTTCCTCATCATTATATAATACAAAAGCTGTAACAAAATATTATAATTTTAACAATTTTGACACTTCCTCCGAAAAACTTAAATTAGATGATCAAATCATAGAAGGTTTAATACAAAAGATAACTTGTAATCAAGAATAAAGTATTATTTTCTCTGAAATCAACCTATTCTTGAATAATAGTAAGATAGATATTACTGAAATTAGTAAGTCTTATATATAAGATATGGATCCAAGTTCTTTGCAAAGTTTATCTGACTTATTTGATAAAACAATTAAATTGGATCAAAAATAAATTTTGTATTGGTATTATTATTCTCTTGAATTCAAAAATAAGGTTAAAAGTCTTATAAAAGATGGTAAGATCAAAAATAAAATTGTCAGATCATAAATATATAAAGAAATAAAACCTTTTTTGCCTAACATTACTGATGTAAATTTGTATAAAAAAATTCAAAGAGCCTTAAACTATTTGAAGAAGGAGGAGTAGGTGTAGATAAAATCAAATACATTATATATAGCACAAGTATTATTTCAGAATTGAAAGATACTAAAATTTAATATATCATAAATTAGATAACTTCAAAAACTATAACAAAATGTCATAATCAGACTAATTTCAAAGTAAGTAAATCTATTTTTTCATCTTATATCTCTAATTCTTTAGGTCTGAATAATTTGCCAAAAGCTGAGATAAATGTACTATTCACATCTCAAGCTGAAGCAAAAATGTTACCCAAGAAACAGATCCATGATCATACTTACTTTCATAATAAGATATTATTATGATATTTTGATCTATATAAAACATTTACTACTGAAAAATTTAATTACTATGATATTATTGAAGGATCATTATGTCAAGTATATAAATTAAATCATGGAGATAGGAAAAGTGTAAAAGGTAGATATAAAGTTGGATCCTATTTTATTATATGTGAAAAATGTAAAATTGAAATAACAGCATAAATTCTACCTTCTCACAATAACTACTCAAAACCAGAAAAAATTATTAGAGGCAGTTATTTCATGGTTAGATAATATATACTTTTATTAATCAAGTATTTTTTTCTGAACTGGAAAGAAAAAAGGTATCCTTGTTATATATGCAAAACAAAGATATAACTTATACTTAATTTGAATTTGCGATCATATAAACAATAACATGGATAAAGTCTTAATCCCTAAGTATTTAAACTGACATGCTAAATTGGTTGATTCACCAAGTCATTTGACAGATAAAATTCATTTAAGCTTTATCAAGAGTATACAGATAAACTGTATGGCTATTTTGTACTGTACGAATAGTGACTTGTATGATTTATTTGTGGTTTGTATGGTTGATTAACTAATATCACATGATATTTTCATTAATTTTAACTGTGGGGAATTTTACCTGGATGATATATAAATGTGACGAATAATATTTTAGACTCAAAAAAATTCAAGTCCTAAAAAAATATAATAAAAATTGAATATTGTGGTGTGTTGAGGTGGTGATAATACCCCTAATTGATTTGCATGTGATACAAACCCTAACCCCTAAATTTGACATAAATTGATAATAATATATATTACAGGGGTTGGGTTTATATTTAGTACTGTTCGGCTTTTTAATATAAAAATACTTGTACTGT